AAACTAATAAAAATAGATTTATCAAAATATAATTATTACCTATACCACGGTCTTATAATCTTATACATATAAGACCGTGCCACTCATTGCTATGAAAAGAAGGGGATACCCAATAACTTGAAGAACTATATATATATTTATGGTACAAGCATACACTATTGTGTGGTTTAACAAATTATTATATTTTAATCTAGTTTTAAATATTTCTAATTATAGGTATTTGAATGTGTTATTAAATGGGTAAAACATGATTTGGATCAGAGAAAAGATTTTTTGCCAGAATTAATGGAACATGTACGTTTGCCATTATTAGCATCAAGGCCTGATGTATTAATTAATGTAGTCGAAGAACCTCTTCTAAAGAATAGTCCTAAATGTATGTTATTTTAATTAATATATTCATCATTATATGTTATATTAATTATTATTTAAATGTTTATAGGTAAAGATTATATGTATGAAGCATTACAATTTAATCTATTTAAGTCAGTTCAGCATTTCACCATTCCCCTAACAATTAGGTGTAAACCCAGGCAGTTTGGTGATTCCCCAAAAGTAAGATTCCGTTTCGATAAATTTATCTTCACAATTATTTTTTCCATTTAATTTTATAAGGTTATTCTAATGTTCAGTCGGTCTGAAACATCGCCAAAGTGTTATACAGAATGGTATGATCCAGCAACCAAGCTAAGAAAGATTGCACCAGGGTTAAATGAATGTCGGAAGTTTGCTGGTCTTGGTGTAATTAAGGATCAATTTGTGTTTGCTGTGGGAGGTGTAAATGAATCGAGTTCTAAATCTGTTAGTATGCTTGACGTATCTTCACAATCGCCCTCATGGGTTCCAATGGCCGACATGTTAGTTAGTAGATGGCAATTAGGAGTTGGAGTATTAAGTGATTCCATATATGCTGTAAGTTAAATAAATATTTATATTACTTATTTTATATTATAATTTTTTAATTCTAGGTTGGTGGAGGTAATTTCGAAAATGCATTAGATAGTGTAGAGGTTTTCGATGTCAGTATTCAAAAATGGAGAATGGTGGCTAGTATGTCAATTAAGAGATATGGTTTGGGTGTTGGAGTACTAAATAATCTTTTATACGTGGTGAATAATTATATTATTTATTTATTTGTAATTTGTAATAAATTTCATAAAATTAAGTTGTGTAGGTTGGGGGTGCTGGTGGTGGTGACATTGTTGATTCTGTGGAATGTTATGATCCCGCACTTGACACATGGACAACAGTTGCAAAAATGTCTAAATGGCGTAAATGGGTTAGTGTAGGAGTCATGGACGGCGTGATGTATGCAATTGGTGGCTTTGATGGAAGTGTGTATCTTAAAATGGTAGAGGCTTATAGACCGAGTGATGGAGTTTGGTCTTCTGTAGCTGATATGCAATTCCCTCGATACAGGCCTGGTAACTAAAATAATAATTTTTTTTAAGTTAAATATACCGATTTTGTCCTGGTAACTATAATAGTTATATATCTTAGGACAACCTTGTAAAAATGTATTGAATTTAAATTAAATTTTTATATAGGAGTAGTGGCATTAGATGGTTTATTGTATGTGATGGGCGGAGAATCTGATGAATCTATCAATGATACTGTAGAAATTTACAACCCTAAAACCAATACTTGGACCTTGGAGAGCTTGTCAAGAAATGAAGTACACATTTATGGTGGAGTAGTTGTTGATAAACCACCACATTTTATTAACTAATCGGCATACATAATAGTCTCATTGTTGGTAGAAATATGATCATATTTATGTATTATTCATGACAAAACATATTGATTTATTAATTTTTGTTTTTTTGAATATTTGATAAAAGTTGTTTTATAATTTAAATTAATTATTTACAAATTAAATGTATAAGCTAAAATGTTATTTGTATTGCAGTGGATCAGCAAAAAAACTTGTATAAATTACAATATTCAGTATATCTTTTAGATTTTGTGCAGTGATAAATTTATTAATTTTTCTATGATATTTGGTTTTGGATTTTTGTGTACACAATAAACATAATAGATACCATAATACAAACAATTATTTTATCATTTTATATACATGATCAAAATATTTTGACTCTGTGCTATTTATAGATATTTAAAAATGTATTACTTTTCTATTTATGTCACTAAGTTAATTCAAGGTTGTTATAATACATCATAGATTTATATTTTATAACTTGAAAATTCAAATTTTGGCAAATGTTTTTAATTATTTTGTAGTTATAAATTTATAAAAAATTTTAATTTTTGTAAGTGAAGATAGAACATTTAAAACAAGGTTTCTCTTAGGTTGTTTATATTGCAACAAAAATCAAAAAAAAATTTAAACAGTTTTTTATTATAGATATTTTAAGTTCAAATTTGGACGAAATAAGATATTTAAAAAACGAAAATCAATATTTTAGTTACTTCGTTGTAATTTAAAAATATAAATCTTGAATCAAGGGCACTTGAAGCTTTTATGGAGGATCCAGCATATGGTGTTTTAAGGAGGAATATTTAGAAGGCAATTAGCTTGATATATACATTTGATCCCTTCTATGTGTAAGTAGGAAATAAACATTGTGTTTCCGAGATATGCAGTTAGGACTATCCAATGCTCCGATTTTCGAGAGCAGCATCTTTTCTGATAGAAAAGTTAATCTAGTTGGTACTTATGGAAGGTAAAAATTGAAAATTCTATGAAGTTTTAGAAAATGTCAAAACAAAAAAAATTTGAAATATTTTGATTGAGCTAGTTATAGGTAGGCTTGACATTTTTTTTCAATTACAATTTCAATACAATTTTATTTGTTAAATAAAAAGCTTGAAAGTTTAATAAAAGGCTCCTAATATCTTGTTACAACGATATTTGAAAAACATTAAATATTGGGTCACGATTTTTTTTTACAAGCATTTAAAGTTAAAATCTTGACAAAATACCTAAAAATCACGAAAATGAGCAAATTATTTTGAAAATCATGAGCAATTTTCTTTCATAATCAAAGATTTGAAATTTATTATTTATCTACTCGTGTCCAAACGAATTTTAGACTTAGACATAATAAAAAAATCACCCGGTCACGATCTAATTACTAATGCTATTCTAAAAAATATTCCTAGTAAAGCAATTACTTATTTAGCCATATTATTCAATTCCCTAATAAAAATTGGATATTTTCCTAAGGAATGGAAACTGGCCACAATCATCATGATCAAAAAAAAGTTCCAACTTCCAAAATAATGATTTTCGTAACATTTTGTTTGGACCACCGTTCTTGTCATGTTGAAATACGTATGTTTCAAAAAAAATGCTGGGAAGCTAAAATTACTTTGTTCCAAAAATATGAAGGAAAAATGAGAATTTTCAAAATAATCGATTTTATTCATTAACTCAAAAACTCATCACCGTAGGCAGTAGGCACTTGAAATTTTCACCAAATATATTTATATATTAGAATTTTTTTATACATGATGAAAATATATACACAAAATATATATATATTGACTCTTTTGTAGCTATATTATTACAACCTTGAGAATTTTTACCGTCGATAAATAATAATTTTTTTTCGCTCGATGAAAAAACTATTGAACATTTAATGCGATTAACGCAAAAATTAAAAATACTTAATAATTAGTATTATAATTAAACTAAATTAATCGATGCGGCCCGGCATTAGACTATTATAAAAAATGTACGATAATAATACGTCAATAAAACGTCACTTACCAATCGAAAAATCCTATAAACCCAATTACGGTGTTTATAGCGTGTCGGGAGGTGACGACATTTTTGAGTAAGACATTTTCACCGAGCGGTGTTTTCGAATTGCGGACAAAGTGACAAAAACCATGTGAGTTGCGGACGAAATCTAAAAAGGTAACATACGAATTGTGCGGACACAAATATAAGATACTAATTGTGGTGAAATCACTAAATCAGTAGAATATCATATTATATACAGGCTGTTTGAAAACTATGACGATAATTAATAATGACGATAATCTATAAATATTTTATAAACAACTTTTTCCACAAAATTAAAACAATCTATAATTCAACAACATTTTAAAAATAACGATTGCTCTTTTGCAAGACACGAATATTTTTAACCCCACCTACCAATTTTTTTTTTAGCTATTGTCATAAGTCCTGAAAAAGTGGTGAAGGGAAATATTTGTGTCCACAACTAACGTAGTTTTTATTAAAAAAAAAGCTCTGTACGCAATTAGTATTAAGACAACGAAACTCGTGTCCGCGATTGTTATATTATAAATTCCTAACCTGAATTCGTCCGCAACTAGTTAGTACCTAGGTTAGGTATCCCAATGCGTACGGAACGCCGTTTAGCAACTCAATTGCTGCAATGATCCAGGCTGGATTCCTGGTTTAGTGTGTACAGCAGTGGCGTAGCCAGCGGGTAGGCCTGGTAGGCCCGGGCCTACTCACTTTTTTCCAAAAAAATTTTTTATCCTTTTAAATATGTAGTGTATATGACTATAATATGTATTTAAAATAATAGAATTAATATTAATATTAAAACCGTATTTACAATATTATTGTAAATACGGTTTTAATTATCGAAATTAAATCCTGATGGTTTTTAATCGGTTCTGCAAATCAGTTAATGACACGTCTTTTATTTTGAGTGTTATGGTTTAATAACCGATCAATTCCTGTTAATCGGCATCCGTCGAAAATCGAAATGTATAGTGCATCAAAGCCAGTGTATAATATAATATTTTAGCCCGACAGCCCGTATTGCCCGTTTCCTACAATATGATAGATATTAATCTTATCCATTCAATTGACGATTATTTCCAAAAATAACGAGACGGTAATATAAGTAAATAAGTTGTAGTCGGATAGATACGCTTGCGATTGTCGATTAGTTTAATACCTACTAATCGCACTGCGTCACTCCGTTCGCCTTTAGTACAACGTAGTGATTATGTTTCGCTTATATTTTTACTTAGTCCGTCGCGTTGCTCGAAAAATGGAACGTTTTTTAATCACACCAGGTAATTTAAAATCAACTGCTGTTTCAACTGTTTCGGAGCCTAATGACCCTGAATCAATTGCGCGTACACCAATATCAGATACAAATAAACAGTTGAATTTAAACATTTTTGATATTAGTGTAACTTGTGAGGATACCGCTGTACAACCTGTCATCAGTTTTCCTCGTACTTTTATATCTTTGAAGCAACTTAGCTTTCAAAGCAGTTGGTACAATAAGTACCCATGGTTGGAATACTCAATTAAAATGAATGCTGTATTTTGTTATTATTGTCGTCATTTTCCTTCTCATTCGCAAATTGAAAAAGATGTTCTAATTACTGGTGGATATTGTGATTGGAAAAATATAAGTAACATGACTAAAAAACATGATAAGACTACTTCACATAAAAATGCAATTGCTAAATATGGCGCATGGCTATCAACCAAAAAAACTGGATCAGTTTCGACTCAAATAAATAAACAAGTCAAAGAGCAAGTTATAAAAAATCGAGCTATTTTAAAAAGTGTAATAAGGTGTGTTTTATATTGTGCACGGCAAGATATCGGACTACGAGAACATCGAAGAGAAAGAAAAGAAGAATTCAATAGTGAAAATTATGATGCAAGTTTGTGTTCACGTCATGACGTAAATGAAGGTAACTTTTTGGAAATTATAAAATTACTTTCCATCGAAAATGAACATTTTAAAACAAATTTTAATTTATTACCTAAAAATAGCAAATACATATCGCCTGAAATACAAAATGATATAATAAAAGCTACTTCAAAGCTTGTATTAGGTACAATTAATAGTAAAGGAAGTTCATATTGGGAGCCAGATATTTAGTTTAATTGTAGATGAGGCTAGAGATCAGTCAAAAATTGAACAAATGAGTATTTGTATTCGATATTTGCACAATTTCAAAATTAAAGAAAGATTTTTAGGTTTTGTCGAATTGAACGATTTAAATGCTCAAGCACAGTGTGATGGCATAATATTTTTTTTAAATAATGTTGGTTTAGATGTTTCAAATTGTGTAAGTCAATCATATGATGGGGCGTCAGTAATGTCCGGAGCTTTTTCTAGTGTTCAAATAAAAATAAGGGAATTAGCACAAAATCCGTGTCCGTATATTCATTGTTTTGGTAGTTCCAGTATCTAGTGCCTCAGCAGAAAGGAGTTTCTCGACGATGAAAAGAGTAAAAACATATCTGAGGTCAACGATGACAAGTAGCAGACTAAATAATTTAACTTTGCTGTCTATTGAGAGAAATAAGTGGAAAATTCATAGAAAATCCATCTGCTGTAATTGACGAGTTTGCATAAATGAAAAAAAGAAAATTAGAATTTTCAATCTAAAACTATTTTAATAAAGCTATATCTTTTTTATTAATTTAATTTTATACTTTTAGTTTTACAATATAAGATAAATCTGTGTAATATGCCTATAATAAATGTATAACATACGGTATTCTGATACTTTTTTTTTTTATAAAACTATTCATTGGTAATCCTTACATCAAAATATCGGGCCTACCCAAAAAAAAGTGTCTAGCTACGCCACTGGTGTACTGTGTACAGATCATCCTGACGGCCATGACTGCCAGCACGAGGGCCATGCAATTGCCATCATAGACCATCTTTCTGATTATCCAACCGGACCAGAAAAAAAAATTGTATTTCACCGCCCAAACACTGAATGCCTTGTGCTAGACCTATTGGAGCGTTTTCACCCACGCCCGTTGGCTGTGGTCGTCGTTAGCTGAAACCAAGTCTTCCATGTAGGTACCTTTATTAAAATATTATGATTAATAATTCGACACAAATTTTGAAGGAGCACACAACACAAAAAAAAATGTTATTACATTTTTTTTTAATGTTATAATACTGTAGCTATGGCTATATGAAACGATGTGGTGAAAATCCAATGTAAAACAAAAATTATTATATAGGTACTCCAAGAGATATTAAGAAATTTAGAATAGCCAATCGTAATTGCCTAATATCTTATTCGTTTATTTAACCCGCATTATTGTCCTTAATATAATATAATACAATATAAATCCGTAAGATCATTGCTCACAACAGTATTATAAATAAATATACTACAGTCTAGAATCTAGATCACTATTCACTATGCATACTATTATATATTTTAATTTAATTTATTTGTCATTGTAAGTCATTTTATTATGTAATAATTATATCTAAATGGGTAGAACATAAAATAATATGCAATATGTGGGATATTTTTCCTAAATTCATGTACGTTTGTGGTATTCCATCAAAACAGTAGGTACCTACATATTATATATGTAATCGGGCAAATGGGTAATGCTCATCAATGATAAACATTAGGTATTTAGAGAAGCCACCTGTAAAGGATGGTGTTGAATTTGAATTCAGTGATATAATAACATTGTACACAAAAAAAGGATTCTGAGCAGAGACGGTGTGTCAGCCAACGATATCTTATGTTATAAATATATATTTTTTACCATTATACCTACTGTACAGTCTATGGTAGCCAGTGAGTTGAATTAATTCCTATAATATGCATAAAACAATGTATAATTCCTCATGTACCTATTAATAATCTTTCAAAGATTATATTGATTGAATTTTAGTACTGAACAATAAAAATAAAAATAAATAATGCTACTTGTACCTCAGTGACGTCTGTAAAATACACGAAATAAAAAATAGCTTAATAACTTCATTAGTAAAAAAGTAATTTAAATTATCAAATCTTCTTGTTTTAACTATTTCAACTTCCTATATACAATTTAATTAAATTTAAAATGAAAATGGGTAAGTGGGTACCAAACTGCTGTATAGTATATGTCTAAATGGGTTGTTGTGTTAAATTTAAATTCAATGATACATAGCCATTGTAATCAAAATAAGTTTCTCAGCAGAAAGTTTCAGCCTAAATAAAAAAAATGCATTTGAAAATGTCAATATGGGTAATAAATGAAGTATATTTATTATGGATTAAAGTTATTAATATAATAATATATTTTAAAATTTCAAGTCCCCATTCATCAATATTATTTTTAAATTACAACAAAATAAATAAAATAGTTTTTCTTCATTTAAAGGTCATATTTGTCACAAATTTTTACTTAAAATATCTATCACAAAAAAACCGGGTTTTCATATTTTTTGGTTGCAATATGAATTACTTACGGGAAACCTTGTTTTAAATTTTTCAATCCTTAGCTATAAAAATTGAACATTTTATACATTTTTAAGAGCAAAATAATTGAAAGCTTATAAAAAAAAATTGTGAATAATATTCAATATTATGCATTTTAAATAATTTTAAACAGCTGCCATAACAACGTATAACTCTAGCATTAAATATTTATATTTTTGGTTCAACAGTAACATTCTTAACGTTTACACAAAATTAACTAAAAAAATTCAAAATATCTATATATAGCCCAATACAAGTTGAAATATTTTAAAATGTATACATATAAAATGATAAAATAAACATTGGTAAAAATGTCAAGTACCTTTTCAACGTGTACACTGTACACACGCCCAAAAAGAAAGAAATCATTGAAAAATCAAAAAATGTTATCTTTCCACACAGAATCTAAAAGATAAAATTTGAAGAGTAAATTATAGGTATAATTTTAGTTTTTACTGATATACTGCATTATAATTAACTTTAAAGCTTATTTTTTTATTTGAAAATAGTCAGTATAAATTATAAAAAAGGTGGGCAAGTGGGTGTCGCTCTGCTGTACAGTAGGTTACAAGTGGGTCACTGTATAATGGATGATATTAAATTTGAATTCAACGATATAATATCATTGTATAAGAAAAACGATTCTGAGCGGAGACGGTATGTCAGTCTAGGTATAAGACATATCACATATTATATACATATCTATGGTACTAAACCAAAATTTGACCTATAATAAATTCCAAATTAATCATATCACAATATCCATTAGGTACTTATAACACATTATACATCAACAAAAACCGTGATACTATCATAGAAAGTGTACTATTATATATCTATATATCTGTATATATAAAAGACTTGTCCTGGGTGATTCATCATCGCCTAGCCGGAACTGCTGGGTCTAGAGACTTGAAATTTTGTACAGAGGTTCCTTAAGCAATGTAAGGGAGCACTAAGAAAGGATTTTTGAAAATTCGACCTACAAGGGGGTAAAAGTGGGGTTGAAAGAATATGATAGTGGCGCCATCTATCAAGCAATATTTAATTTAAATATACAATGTTGGTATTAAAATGAGTATTTAGATCAAAATTAAAACTTCACATTTTTAAAAATCTAATATTATCTTCTATATATATAAAAATGTCAGTGTGTGTGTCAATATTACCATAGCAACCATATCTGTATATATAAAACAGTAAGCTGATTGACTGCTATCAACGCATAGCTCAAACCATTGGACGGATCTGGCTGAAATTTGGCATACAGATAGCTATTATGATGTAAACGTGCGCTAAGAGAGGATTTGCCAAAATTCGCATTTTAAATAGGTGCTGAAACAGGGACATTGAGATTCACGATAGAAATTGGAAATTTTATTTTTATTTATTTATAGTTGCCATTGGTTACAGTCTACATTAGAAATTAGCATTTATTTATTGGTTGCCATTGGTTATTCGGGCAGATCAGGTACAAGCTTGCATCAAATCGAATTATTGAACATTGCCTACCAGGGTGGCTGAGTTGCACTTACCGCAGAAAGTTACACCCAAAAGGAGTTCAACAATCATAATTACACTTCCGTACAAACAGCACGGGATCCGCGATCTACCGCAGGTAGATTGCCTACCTGATAATGTACTGTTGCGAATCAGAATTTTTATTCAGGGTGACAGAAAAGATAAGATAAATTTTGAACACCATACACCGAATATTGAATAATGAATTGAACAAAGTTTGAGTCATATTGAGTTGATACATTTAACGGGCGACGAAGTACACGGGATCAGCTAGTTATATATATAATAGTTCACTTTAAAGGTTCAAGTACCCACGAATAATATTATTCAATCACAACAAAATAACTAATATAGTTATTCTAGGTTTTTTAATATGTAATTTCGTCCAAATTTGAATTTAAAATGTCTGTAAAAAATAACTGTGTTGATATATTTTTTTAGATTTTTTGGTTACAGTATGAACTATTTATGAGAACCTTTGTTTTAAATTTGCAATCCTTAGCTATAAAAACTGAACATTTTATAATTTATTAATTACAATGATTGATAATTTTCAAGATTTGATAAATTTTGTCAAAATTCGATCTTTAAATGCTTAAAAAAAAAATCTGTGCCTATGTATTTTTAATATTTTTCAACTGATATTGTAACAATATATCAGGAGCCTTGTATAAAATTTTTACACTTTTTGGCCCAACAGATAAAACTTTATTGATATTTATAGAAAAAAAACTAAAAAAAGGTGGGCAAATGGGTGTCGCTCTGCTGTACAGTAGGTTACAAGTGGGTCACTCTATAATGGATGGTATTAAATTTGAATTCAATGATATAATATCTTGTATAAGAAAAACGATTCTGAGCGGTGATGGTATGTCAGTCTATGTATAAGGCATATTATATACATATCTATGGTATTAAACAAAAAATTGACCTATAATAGGTACCTATAATAAATTCCAAATTAATCATATCACAATATCCATTAGATACTTATAATGCGTTATACATCAACAAAAACCGTGATACTATCATAGATATATAATAGTACACTTTAGAAGTTTCAAGTACCCACGAATAATATTATACAATCACAACAAAATAACTAAAATCGTAATTGTTGGTTTAAATATGAAATTTTGTCTAAATTTGAAATTAAAATGTCTGTAAAAAATAAATGTGTTTATATATTTTTTAGATTTTTTGGTTACAGTATGAATTATTTAAGATAATCTTTGTTTTAAATTTTCAACTCTTAGTTATAAAAACTGAACATTTTATAATTTTTTAATTCCAACGATTGATTATTTTCGAGATTTTGATAAATTTTGTCAAAATTCCAACTTTAAATGCTTATAAAAAAAAATCGTGCCTTTGTATTTTTAAAATTTTTCAACTGATATTGTAACAATATATAAGAAAGCTTGTATTAAATTTTCAGACTTTTTGGCCCACCAAATAAAATTTTATTGACAATTATAAAAAAAAAAACTAAAAAAATTGAAAACTGAAAATGTCCGTAAACAGCTCAAAAAGAGTCAAATATTTTCAAAATTGTATGGTGTATAGGAAATGCTAATTTAAACATTCAGTGAAATTTTCATGTATCTACAGTTATTATATGTTATTTTTTCCCGGCGCTTGTGAAAACTACTGGGAAATTTTTACTTTTGACGCCCTAAAGTACCAACTAGATTCACTTTCCTATCAGAAAAGCTACTGTTGAAGAAAATCCAAGCACTTTTACTGTCCTAAAACGTGATGACAGACACATAAAAAAATTAAAAAATTAAAAAATAAACACAAAGAGAATCACTCAGAATCTAAAACATTCTTATCAAATATTCAAAACAACAAAAAAATATAAAACAATACACGCTTATCAAAATGTTTACAAAAATATTTTCATATTTTTATTAACAATGAGTAATTCTTAAAGCTGATTAATGCTAATGATGTGGTCTATCAACAACTACTCCACCATAAATTTTTACTTCATTTCTTGACAATCTCTCCAAGGTCCATGTATTGGTGTTCGGGTTGTAAATTTCTACAGTATCATTATAGAAGGAACCATCAGACCTTCCGCCCATCACATACAATAAACCATCTAATGCCACTACTCCTATATAAAAATATAATTTAAATTCAATACATCTTTACAAAGGTTGTCCCAAGAAATATAATTATTACCAGGACGAAATCGGCATATTTCCATATCAGCTACAGAAGACCAAACTCCATCACTCGGTCTATAAACCTCAACACTTTTGAGATACTTTCCTCCACCATGGCCACCAATAGCATACATAAGACCGTCCAAGACTCCTACACCAACACCATGACGGCTTCTAGACATATTTGCAACTGGTGTCCATGTGTCAAGTATAGGATCATAATATTCCACAGAACTCAAAGTTGTATTTTTATCTGCAGCACCCCCAACCTACACAATTTAATTTAATAAAAAGTAAAACAAAGTTAAAATAAATAAATAATATTAAGTTTTACCGCGTATAATAAATTATTGAGTACATCAACACCCAAATCACATCTTTTAGTAGACATACTAGTTACAGTTCTCCATTTTTGAATACTAATATCAAATACCTCTACACTATTTAATGCATTTATGAGATCTCCTCCACCAACCTAGAATTACAAATAATATACATTTTTATTATAAAATAAGGAAAATATTGATTTAACTTACTGCATATATACAATCATCCAATACACCAACTCCCAATCGTTTTCGGCTAACTACCAAGTCGACCATCGGAACCCAGGAGGGCGATTGTGAAGATACGTCAAGCATACTAACAGTCTTAGAACTTGATTCATTTACACCTCCTACAGCAAAAACAAACTGGTCTCTTATGACGCCGAGACCAGCTAACCTACGACATTCATTTAACCCTGGTGCATTCTCTCTTAGCTTGGTTGTTGGGTCATACCATTCTGTGTAACACTTTGTCAATGTTTCAGACCGATTGAACATTAGAATAACCTTATAAAATAAATGGACAAAATAATTGTGAAGATAAATTTATCAAAACGGAATCTTACTTTTGCTGAATCACCAAACTGCCTGGGTTTACACCTAATTGTTAGGGGAATGGTGAAATGCTGAACTGACTTAAATAGATTAAATTGTATTGCTTCATACATATAATCTTTACCTATAAACATTTGAATAATAATTAAGATAACATATAATTACATAATGATGAATATATTAATTAAAATAACATACATTTAGGACTATTCTTTAGAAGAGGTTCTTCGACTACATTAATTAATACATCAGGCCTTGATGCTAATAATGGCAAACGTACATGTTCCATTAATTCTGGCAAAAAATCTTTTCTCTGATCCAAATCATGTTTTACCCATTTAATAACACATTCAAATACCTATAATTAGAAATATTTAAAACTAGATTAAAATATAATAATTTGTTAAACCACACAATAGTGTATGCTTGTACCATAAATATAAATATAGTTCTTCAAGTTATTGGGTATCCCCTTTTTTTCATAGCAATGAATGGCACGGTCTTATATGTATAAGATTATAAGACCGTGGTATAGGTAATAATTATATTTTGATAAATCTATTTTTATTAGTTTCATTCTTTCATAACTTTTTATATGTATATGTATTATCAATAATAAAATATATTTTTATAATTGTTAAATTCCCTTTGTTTTACACTATGTCTAGCCAATTATATGGCCCATCTATGTAATTTTTCCCCCTCCATGGTCCCCCCCCTAATTAAGCCCTGGATCCGCCACTGAAAGAATATATCAGTAGGCGGGGGGAGGGGTAGCTGTATTAAACAAACCGAATATTTATGCAGCTATAGTCCTATAGCATAAGCTATATGATATTCATATTTGTGATTTGTTATTTATT